CGGGCAAAAAAAAAAACATCCAATATAAACAAGTGAATCGGCAAATGCGTGATGCGCTTACCTAATGAGCAAATAAATGAGCAACCAACGCTAATCGAAAGCGAGTTGGTAGCGTGGAAATGCGTCCTCAATTCGAATTTTTATGCCGCAGCACTCAACACCAATTTTTGGACGCATAACATATACGTACGTATGTACATAATATGTTTGATGACGGAGGCGCACACAGCTCTCTGATGGCCTTTCGGCTGCCGAATTATTAGGTTAGCGAAAAAAAATATTGTAATTCCATCCGCGGCCAAATCAGATCCAATCAATTGGTGGGGTTCGTTCGGTGCGCGTTCAAATGCAATTATGTATATATGTATGTAGTTAGTATTAGGTATGCTTCCACGCATTTTTGTTGGGGTTGCCTATGTAGGTTGGCAATTGGTATGCATTGCGAACTGTGGCACCATAACTAGTTTCATATGAAATTGAAAGTGATGCCAAAATTGCGCGAAATTATCTAACGAAGCGTTGCCAGCGTTGCGTTGTCCCGTGTTTGCCGGGACGTCCCGTATTTTGCATTCAATTTGAACGGTTCCGCCGGGACAAGATTTTTCCCGAATTTTCGTCAATTTCGTTATTTATTTCAACCTGTAAATTTCTACTCAACATGGTCATGCTTGTCATGGACGCGGCTATTGTGAGTAGGACATTAGCAAGCATTATTGTATGCAATTCTGTAAGAGAAATAAAGCTAAAAGTTACCGTTGATTTTTTAGAAGTTTTTTTTTTTGTGGAGGGTGTTGCGAATTTTCTTCTATATCACTAACCCATGAACAAAACTGACTTTCATACTGTAAAAAATGCGCAACACCCTCATAAACACAACACAATCATAAATTTTAATGCAACTTTTAAATATCCTTTGTAGTGCCATAGGCTCTTTGTAAGCCGAAAGGGCAAAAAATCATAACCCCAGAGTATATGCACTAGGGTGGTCCAAAATGAGTAAAGTCGGATTTTTAATGCGCTCACCCCCTACGATTATTCTATATCGAAAAAAAGTATTCCTTATTTTTTTTATTTTAATCGAAAAATATTGATTTTCAAGAATTCGATACCATTTCTAGGAAGTTGCTTTTTCCCATATAAAATACATGGAAAACTTTGAGCGACCGCAAATAATTTTTTATTTAAAAAAAAAAATTAGGGGTATATTTTTTCGGTATAGAACCATCCTAGGGGTGAGAGCATAAAAATTCCGACTTTACCTTTTTACATGCATTTTTGGACCACCCTAATGTACACATTACTGCATCTCGTATTTAATTCTGATCTCCTATACATACATACATGAAGTAAAGGGGGAAACACGCAAACATTTTGAAGGATCCTGTGGCGTTCACTTGGAAGTAAATGTTTCTATTTGCTAGGCTTTGCATTTCAAATGTAAACCAAAACCAAAAACCGCCAGCACCAAAACGACCAGGCTACTTCATACGTTAAAATCAGCTCGATGACTATTTCAAGAAATGTAGTGGGCTTCGATGTGGTCATCATGCAGCACACAGTAACAAATAACATGGCCGCAATCAGCTCGGCTGGAAAAATGAACCAAATGTTTGCCTTCTGACGGAGCTGCATCTGGAGAGACATTTTTGGCTCGATTCCATTACGGCATATGTATGTTCAGAGTTCCCTCTCTGCCTTCATGGTGTGTATTTCGCCTGTCTCTGGGCGTTTCCTTGCAGTTCGAGCACATCGTTCGTTTGCGCAACGTTGATACTAATTAATGTGTGCCACATTAATTTACATTTGGAGCGCAGCGTTGCATCCATTAACGTAGGGCAGTTGATATGTGTAAAAGGAAGTGTACACACAAACACTCCTGCACTTACATACGTGTGCATCGACATGAATGAGAGAACATTTTGTGGAATTTACTGTATATGTACATTAGTGTGCGCCTTATTTTTTAACTCGTATAACTTCAAAGCTTAAAGTGATGTGAAAATAAGGTATCCATATTTAAAATTAGCGCGTAAAAATACGTTAAGTAGCATTGAAACAAATAATGTTTTTTTACTGATTTATAGGCTATATTTTTCATTTGATGTAAAATTGCATGAACTTGTCCAACTTTTGCGCGTCTCAGGCACGTTTTATAACCAAACGAGCCTATATAGCTTAAAATACAAAAATCTCCCCATATAAATAAGGCGCACACTAATGTACATTAATATGAACAAATACACTACATACGAAGTCTCTTTTTTCAGAAGGCTCTAAATAATAAATTTTCTTAATTTTTGCATATAAAACGGTTTTGCAGCGGCGAATGTTTTAATTATTATATATATATTTTTTTTTTTTAAGTGAAACTTCTTTACGTTCGGGTGGGAATAAATTCAAACACCGATGCAAGGAAAAACGACACAATCGTTGGGCTCTAATTTCAAGCTGTAATGAAACGAAAAAGCGACAGGTTTTGTATATTTAAGATCCAAGATTGAGATCAAGATTTTCATTAAGATAAAGATTTCGGAGATTCAAATTGAGGTTGGGGCTAAGATTCAGATTGGAATGGGATTGAGATAAATATTAAGATTAAGAATGAGATTGCGATTAAGATGAAGACAATTGTTCATTATTATGCAAAGAAATACTCACATAATATGATGAGCTACATAGCTACGGGTTATAGAAAGAACTGTCACTTGAGTCCCGCGTGCGTTGAAATTAATAAGAATGGAAAATAAGAAATTGTCTATGATGGGCTGGATATGGCGCTGTTGAGCTCGTTTCTTTTCGATTAGGTTGGGCGCACTTTCGATTGATTTTCATTTCAAATTGTACCAGAGACTATAACGATTATAAGAAATGAAATTAAATATTGCTCTGTAATTATTACTGAATAATGGAAAAGTGGTTTTCGTTTCGCGGGACGTTTATTTTAAGACGAAAATGATTTACGCCTTCACATAATAATTATATGGCAGTTTTATTTGTCTTCTCTTAATTATATGGGGCTTTTCTTGAAATGAATCTTCTCAATTGAGTTCGGAGATTCGACGCGTTAATTATGTAACGCCATGATTGTTAATGTTATCAAATCTGTATCGTTCATTCCCTTTTCTGAAATGACGTGTCAAATTAAAGGGCTTTGCTTTAACGTGGTTTTAGTTTTTTGAAAAGGGTTGCCAGATGTTAGCAAATCAAATTCCAATAATCGTGAAATCGGTAGTATATGTACCGTTTCTATTAAGAGAATACGTGGAACGTAAATCATTGTCGTCTGGAAATAAACGTCCCGAGAGACGAGAAAAATAATTTCCATGTGCAATGTGCAGAGACTAAAAAAGATATTTCTCGTAAATAATTATTATACAAAGACGAAAAATTTTCTCTTAAAACAAGGCGACGTTTTTGATCTCAAATATTAGGATAATGATTATTTTGGGTCTCTGAATTGTACAAATAGTTATTTGTACGTAGCTCGATGTACGCAACCCCATCTATGTATGTATGTACATACATATGTACAAAGTTTTTCGAATACCCTACTATTCAGTTACCTGTTTAGCATATATCGAGTCTTTTTCACAATATTTTTACCATTGCGAGAAACAGCACTAACATGAAGAGTCCCATTTAAATTTGTCGTATGGATTGTGCGGTAATTTTTTTTAACTCCACTCAAATCCATGAGCAGTGGGATCTTCCATGGCCACCAGGCACATTTCACACCTTTTACGTAACTCAGATTGCACAAAATGGAAAGAAACGGTGTGCAAGCCTTGTTAAAACCGCATCACAAACAAGGGCCCAAAAACAAATTAAGCTAAAAAAAAAGTGAATGCAAATATTCCAATATGACAACTATCATTAAAAAGGCCATTTTAGTTTAAAATAAACGGCTTTAAATTTTTGTGTTCCCTTTCGCAGATTTCTAGATGAAGTAGAGAACGATTTCCATTTTTTGGCGCATTCTTCATCCCACGTTTTTTGACAGTGTATTGGAGACGAAAAATCTACAAATTTTACCTTTTTTAGAAAACATATGGCTTCTTAAATGCTATCGAAACATAAAAAAATTGAACATATAATTGGAGGTTACTTTATTTTTTTGCACCTCAAATTGCCATTGTAAATATCAATTTTGAGCAAGTATTCTTTAGCGCATCAATTTGTTCGCTACTAAATATTTATACTCTTTGATCAACAGCACATTTTTGAAAATTCTCATCAGCATAAACTTGGAAATTTTCTTTGGGAAACTGTAGAAAATTTCCTACGGTAATTCGCGTACGCCCGGCATCATTGCTCAAGATCTCCTCCGCAATGCACACAAAAAGAGCCCGCATTGTGAGGGAGAATTGTCACAGCATCGCTGATTGACAAGCAATGCACTCCTCCCCGCTGCCACTGGATGTATGTATGTATGTATGTAGGTCGCAATCGCGTGGGCAGATGGCCGGCCCAACAGAGCGCGCCTTAATGGAAGAAAATTGTATTTCATTACAATGGAAGTTTTTAATAGTTTATGAAACGCACACAAAGGTGAACCGGATGGTAGCTGTGGGTTGTCGCGCAGCCGAGAATTGGTTTCGCGTTTCGACAATCGCCCCAACAAGTGCACCGCCGTGTTCCCTCCCGTTGTGCGTTAACGGATGTAGATGGCCCAAAGGGAAAGCGCGCGGATGTCAGTCCTCATTTCATTCATTTTATTTTAACCAGTTTTCCGTTTTAAATCATAGCCTTTATTAAATCTGCCGGCGCATTTAAAGCGGATTTGAAGCGCCGAAGTCCCGATTACGCATCGCATGTGAAATTTTCTGCTGCTGGTAAACATTGGTGTGGACGTCCACGCCATGTATCGGAACTTGTAATTTCGTGCACAATTGTATTTATTTATTTATTTATTTATCATATTCGATTACGTGTTATCCCGAAGTACTTAATAATCAACATTGACTAACGATTTTCTTTCTCTGCTTTCCTTTCGCTTGCAGCACGTGGTACAGGCCGGCGTTGCGCCATATCCAGGCGCTCCGGCTGGCTACCCACCGGCCGGGGCACAGGTCGGCACCACCAACCCGGATAGCCTCTCAATGGCAGTGGCGGCCATCAAAACTGAGTCCGTGTCACAAATGAAGCCCGAAGGTGGAACTGCCGCTTCAGCTGCCGCAAATGCAGCCACATCGGCCGCTGCCATACAGATGTACATGCAACAGAAGAAGGTAAGTGTGTGGGGCAGCTTCGTTAATGTGCATGCGTGAATGTGCCCAACACTGGTGTGTGCTTTGAGAACGAAGTGGGCGAGTTGAGCTACTGTGCGCCTGTAAATATACACCGAATAACCTTAATTGCACGGACATAAATAGTACATTGCATGACCACTCGAAACTAATATCTGCCACCTTTGATCGCTTTTCACTCACACCACCAAATACATGCTTACGTATATTTCTATAAATAGGCGTGAGTGAGTGAGGTAGAGCGCCTTAATGTATGTTTTTATTTGAATTAGATTTAAAGCTGGGCAAAAGAAGTAAGTATTTGTGTATTAGTTGTTTGGATAAAAACCTCCAACCGGAGAAATTTCTGTTGTTTCTTTCTCAAAGAAATATTTAGAATAAATCCGCAATTCTCGTTCCGCTGTCTGACAACTGGCTCGCTTGTATGTCGCTGGAAAGCAAATTCAAAACTACTTGCCCAGTTTTTGAATTAATTCCGATTTTGTGTCTGCTTAGAAAAAACTTATCGAAATGAAGAGCCCCCTCTTTTATAATCCTGATGAATCAACATACATACATACATACATTTGTATTTTTATTTACTTACTTTAGCACTTGCTCAAACATTGTACATTCTCCATAATATCTACCACCAAAAAATATTTTTTCACATGTCCATCACAAAAATGTTGTAAAGAAGGTTTGCATGCGGCTAATTCAGCATTTTTTTTTTTTTTTGCTTTTTTATTCAAAGTATAAGTTACAGTTAAAAACTTTTGTACGTATTTATTAGCGACTAATTTAACGAATCCAGGTGTCTGTCTTTATAGCATAAGAAGTATTCGTAAGCATTATTCTAGTACACAGTGCGACAGTCATTTTTTTACAACACAGAAATCAACATACGCGCGAAACTAGGGGCCGAATATAGTAAAAAATTATTTTAAAATTTTAGTGCAATGTTGCATAACAATGTGGGTACCAAATAAAAGAGAAAATTCTGTAGAATTTATTAAAGACCTATGAAGTATTACGACATATCGAGCCCTAACCGCCAAAATAACGTAAGCGATTTTTTTTTTAATTTTCTTTTTGATGCAGAAATGCATCTAGATGCTCTACGAATATTTCTGCATCAAAAAGAAAATTTTGAAAAAAGTGTCGCTTACGTTATTTTGGCGGTTAAGGCTCGATATGTATGTATATGTTAAGGACTAATCCTCGAATTTCGAGGTTTTACTATATTTGGCTTCTGGTTTCGTGCGTGATGTATACTGATTGTCTTGTGTGTTTTGAAATTATTTTGGTTTACGTCGCACGGTGTTATATAACTACGTATCTATAATGAAAGGCGATTTTCTTATTTGTAATTGTTGACATCATATTCATAGAATCGTAAATTTTTGAAAGTGAAATGCTCATCCCAAAGATTTCTACAAGCCAACCAGCAGTGGAAACTTCTTAAAACTATGTAATTTCGAAAGTCGATGGACTTCAAAGAAATTAAGTGTTAAAGTAACCCGTGCATATACATATATATAAACCCAAGGGGTAACGGGATAATTTGCTTGATGTGAGAAGATCTCAATGACAGCCGCTATTTTCCATGCAACTTTTCCAATTCGAATTGCCACGAATAGTTTAAAGCTAATATCAGCCAAGTCGCTGTAGCCGTCCTCAAGCGTTACTCTTACTAACGACATTTATGCAATTTGTAGGTACACATACATATATGCATATCCCTGCAGAAAAAAATTATCAATTGATAAAAAAATAGCCTACTTATAGTTTTAGCTTTTAATCGCGATTTCGATAAATACCTAACTTTAATTAGCTATGACAAAACTAAATTTAAGTGAGTTGCAAAGTCCTGCAGGAGTCAACTGCAGACGTTACCGGGAGTTTGTTTTCCTTAAACAAGCTTCTATTTAAATATGCTCATACAAAAATTACTTTGAATGCTCTTTTTTGCTACACTTCACGGATGTTTTCTCGAATGCAGGAGAAATAGTATAAAGATCGAAATTTCATATTATCATTTTGATGTTATATGTCTGATGGAATTCAAATATGGGACCACCTACAAAAGAACATGTAAACAAATAAGCAAACTGTAAAGTTGAACAAAGTAAATAAATAAAAAATTAGAAGAAATCTTTTTTATTGATATTTTACGTCCAAAAGAAGGTAACTACAAGTTAGCTAACCAGTTCTAAATTTTGGCGGCCATCGCCCTTCAAAAGTAGTGGTCGACTGCTGGGTAGTTATAAGTTAGCTATAAACTGGCCCAATTTCCTGCAGGGATGCTTATAGATCTATGTAAATACATACAAATGTATGTATGTATAGGTCCACTTGTTCAAATTCACATGTACTTATTTCAATATTTTCGCATAACAACAAAGCAAGTTCGAATGCCATATTCGTTCGTTGTTTCGTTTATCTCCTAAAGTGACTCGGATCACTCGGTGTCCGATAACCTTCAACAGTTGCAAATTCCAATGTCGCTGCTGATAAGCGGAGGCTCCCTTTTTCCACTGCTGTTGGCCATTGTTGAACGGATTAGCTACTTAGCGGGTAGTTCGGTTAGTGATAAGCAAAGTGCCACGCATGCCACACCCATCGAAACATTTATGTATGTATATTGGTGTAATCGCATATATGAATAAACAATTAAAAAATGCAATAAACATTTTAGCTTTTGTATTTAACTTTGATATAACGAATTGTTGGTGTTGGTGTAGTTCGAAGGCAATTCTAAAAATAATTGATTTTCTTATTCTAATGATGCAAAAAAAACAAAAAAAAAACACAAGAAGTAGAAATCAGTTCAATGAAACTTTTAAATCTGACATACATAAATGCTAAAACTGAATAAACGTTCAACCCAATTCTCCCGCAGACAAATCTGCCAACGGCATCATCACAGTTCAACGGCTGCAACAACACATCCATCTCAGCGGCCACAGCAACAACTACGACGACAGCGGGTATCGTGAATTCGCCTCTGCTAGGCGGCGTTCCTGCGCAACAACACAATGGCGGCCTTGGGATCGCGCTTAGCAATGGGCTGTCGGCCGCCGCCATGAATGGTCTTGAGCACAAACATCAACAGCACCAGCACCAGCACCAGCTGCACCAGCAACAACAGTTGCAAATGCTGCAGCATCACCGATCTCATCCTCACTTCAGCCACCAAATGCACCTGCAGCAGACACAACAGCAACCCCCGCAGTCACAGCCACTGACGCCGGCAACGACTCCGACTCCGACTCCGACTCTGACTCCGACGCCAAATTTGACGCTGGCGTCTTCGCAGGCCCAGTCGCAGCCGCAGCCGCAACCGCAACCGCAACCGCAAAGTATTGTTATAGTGAGTGTTGTTGCTATAATAGCAAAGAATCGCACAAGGCATTGCTGTGCGCGCATCGGCCAAGTGCCGCACTTGCCGCAGATGATGCCTTATGCCACACCTGTCACCTGTCACACATCCACGTACTAGTACGCAAGTTCTCTTTGCATCCACGCTCGTGCTCATGTAAACTATTCGTATTCGTACTTAGCTACTACTACTACTACTACTACATACATACATATATATATATGTATATATATATACTATATATATGTATATATATATAAAATCCAGTTGAATTAAAATTGAATTGATTAAAAATTAAATGGAATGGAATGATATGGAATGGAATGGAATGGCATTACTCGTGTTGTGTCCTTTTTACTAGCGCCTAAAATGCTGCTGCGGCTATATATTTTGCCACTGCAACAACAAAAAACTGCATCCCCCGCATAACTTTTTCATTACTCGTATTTGTAACTGTAATTGTATTATAACTGTATAACGCATATGAAAATTGTACCCAAGCATCAAGCATAGCATACTTTAGGGGTCTGACTGTCATGCATCTACTTTGGTTTTCGGTTTCACATTTGGTTTCAGATTTGGTTTTGGTTTTGGTTTTGGTTCGTGAATTTTCCATTTGGAGCGGGCTTGTGAATTGAGTTGTAATGTTTTCCCGTACAAACGACTTATTTATTGTATGACTTATAATATGTATGAATGAAAAATATAATGAAATTACAATATAATAAATAATAACCAAAGCCTATAGTAGTCACACAAAATTGTAAATTATGATAGACACACATACGTACATTTATAAATTATAGGTATGTGTAATGGAGAAATGATGTTGTTGCACTCAACTGTTGAGCCAGATTTATTTGTAGCTTTGCTTTTCCAGTTAATTTCATCATTTCACAGATACGCATTTGTTGCTAAGTTTCCACTACATATTTTAAAGTTTATTCACGGCGTTGGTGTGTTTGTTCTGGTCAGGACATACATACATACATGAACATAGCAAACAATTTGTACAGACACGCAAGTTTTATCATTAATATGTATGTATATATAGTATATATGCAATATGTTTTTTTAATTTTTTTTTAATAATTGGTGCAGGGTTTTTTGCATAGCTGCATATGTACGACAGTAGTATGTGTTGCCAATAGCTAAGTTTCCTTTTGTTTTGCATGAAAATATATTGTTTATCAAAAAAATTATCAAAAAATCATAATTTCGTACAGAACTTAAAAAAAAAACATAGCCAAATTGAATGTTTCTTTAAACCACTTTTCAACTGATGTAGTCTTAATCGATCGGACGCCATTCAGAATTATAAGTGCAATGGCTACTAAACAGATTTTATAAGTGAAGGACCATATCTAGAATTAGGCAAATTCCCGAAAACAGCTGGGAAGTATTTCTGCTTTAACTATATTAACTAGCGCTTAGGTGTCTGGGCAAAATCGGGTATTACTCGGGTTAGGTAACTACCTGGGTAGGCTATGAGAATGTTTTTCATGCACTGAAGGAAGCACACACTGCGGTAAAAAATAAAAAGAAAGCAATGCCGATAAAGATTTCTGCAATCGTGAAATCGTCGCAATTACCTTGAAGTTGGCTCTACATTATAGTTATTCACCCTAAGAGAGAAAATTCTCATAAAAATAGGTGCGTTTGTTTGAGTACACTTGTCGACGGTTCGAGCCCTCGTCAATCTGAAGACAAATTTTGCGTCGTTTACATGCTTTTACAGCCGTTTTCTTAAACAGGTTTTAAAATTTATCTGCCCTTTAAAGATAAATTTTGTTCAATTTCAAAATTTATCAGACTGTTAAAATTTAATTATTTATTTATTTATTTAATTATTCACAAAAAATAAAGTGGGCTATAAATTGACGTTTTCATACATTTTTCAATTTATAAACCTTTTTTAAAGCTACTTTATTTTTTATGAATAAGGCCATAAAATTACAAATTTACTGAACAAAATTGTGTCAATTATATTTTAACAGGCTGATAAACTTGAAATTGATTGGTGCCAACGGGCAGTTTAAATATTTGTTTTAATTGTTGTAGAATTTAAAGTTGCAAAAGGAATTTGTATGTATGTATATTAGACTGTATCACCAAAAAAAAGTTGCGATTTTCCGCCGAGATTACAAATTTTATTATATTTTAAGACGTCCACCAAAATATTTCAGAAAAATATTAAGATTTAAGCGAGCTGGACCGATTTGAAAATTCCTTTTATGAATAAAAATAGTTTCTTAAAGAACTTTTTGAAAAAAGTCCGATGACAAATTAGGCTTAAAAAATCTGCATAAAAATATTTAAAAATCTTTTCAACGGAATCGTAATAATGAGATTTTTGATGCTGTTATTTTTACTTTTTTCAAAGATTGTTTTACGAAAAACTTAAATAACTGGGCCAAAACTATTCTGACTTAGACTTATGGGATCTCGGTAGAAAGGTATTTTCCCACAATTTTTATTTATGTGCAAAACAAAGTCATTGGTGTCCCAATTTTTTTTTTTTCAAATATCAGCACATCTTAATTCAACTTTGAATGATTTTATTTTTTTTATTTTTATGTAAATTTTTTAAGCTTAGACCGTTTTGTTATTTGAGGGGATTTTTTCAAAACACATCTTTAAGAAAATATTTTATTCATTAAAAAACTCCATTTTTGGAGGTATTATCAAGACGGGTCCAGCTCGTTTAAATCTTATTATTTTTCCGAAATATTTTGGTGGACGTCTTAAAATACAACAGATTTTATAATTCCAATGGAAAAACAGTATCCGATTTTTTTAATTTTGTATGGGGAGTGATGCAGTCTAATGTACATATGTAGTTACTCAAATTAATCCAGTCACAAATCTTATTCAATTCTTATTTATTTCAAAGTAATAAAATTATCTGTATAATACCGCTATGTTTATTTAGTATCTCACACTGAATAAAAAAATTGCACAACTGAGAAGTTTTCAAAATCGACTTTTCAAGGGACAGTATGCTACTTAAAATAGCTTTTACATGCCTTTGTCCGTTTACGAAAAATGCATTTACAGTATTGGACATATCTATAGCACCCCCCTTTCAAAGCGATATTGTTTGCCACTTATGTTTAATTATTTGTTTTTAAGAATTTTTAATTAAAATACAGTTCATTTTCCAACAAAACCCATATAAACTAGAGCTCTCGATTTTGTTCGCACATTTTCAAACAGCCCGGGTATATGAGCAGCGAGTACTCGCACACTTGTTCAATGCTCATTACTCGAAAATTTTCGAGCATGAGCTCGAGCAATTCGAGTTTTTTCGAGTAATTTGAGCAATTTTTTTTTTTTATTATATTGACATGTTTGGTAGAAACTTTTTCAATTTTTCAATTATTGATATATAATGCAAGGATTGTTACATTGGTATTTAATAATATAATTTATTTAACATGAATTAGAAAGCAGCTGCTGACAAATACAATTTACAAATTTTCTTTTGTTTATGAAATTGTTCAAAAACTCGAAAATTTTGAACAAACATTTGAGCAGTTGAGCAATGAACGAGTTTCGAGCGAGTATCGAGCTACTCGCATTGCTCGATACCCGGGTATCTAGAGCTCTAGTATAAACCAATGTTCCCTTAAATTTCAAACTTTTTTCTCAGAAGCTCTAGAATTTTTTTGAGTACACAGTTTTATAGCGCATTCAATTTTGTCCAATAATGTGCAAGTTTCAAGTCGCTAAAGATTACTGTTGATTTTTTAGATTTTTTTTGTCTCATTTGCTTCCATATATGGACTAAACACAATTAATTTTTATATGGCAGAAACCCGCAACATCCTCGGCGAAAAAAATTCTAAAAAATCAACGGTAATTTTTAGCCACTCGAAACTTGCACATTATTAGACTAAAATTGAATGGGCTATAAAACTGTGTATTCAAAAAAATTCTACTGCTTCTGAGAAAAAAGTGTGAAATTTGAGTGAAAATTTGTTGCACTTTTTTGCGGTCTTTTAAAAAGTTTTAAACTTGAGTTTATGTGAGTTTTGTGAGAGAATGAACTGTATTTTAATTGAAAATTCTTAAAAGTAAATAAATAAACATGAGTGGCAAACGATATCACTTTGAAATGGGGGTGCTATTGTATTGGCCAATACTGTATGTCTCGTTTGTTCCTAATGCCGGTGTCTGCATATACATACATACATATTTGGTATGTAATGCCTAACCAGTACTACAGCAGAGAGGAAACTATCGACCAATCTGCTACTGGCATAAGTCTCCTTAAAGCTTCATTCTTCGGCCACTCCAGGTTCCGAGCTTCAGCAGGCAATTTACTGTAGCAGGTAGATACATACTGCATATTTGTCCATTGCACTGAAAGAATCTGTTATTGTTATCTTTCATTAACACGTCCACAGCTAGTGGGCGACCGCTAGCGATTCAAATTCAAACAGTACATCTTGGTAACTATCTATGGTGACTTGTCGTATGTCTTTTGCGTTCATTCACTGTTCTAGCGGCGTCCTTTGCCATTTCCATTTCAATTTACTGAGATAAAAGCCACTTCCGCAGCTGTTCGCCATGTTTTCCAAGCTGCTATTCGGAACTCCGCATCTGCTCTTCCCTACATACATTCATTCTATGCATTTTGATTGTTGTTGTTCCCCAACATACATACACATATCCAGCTGCTATTCGCTTAGACTTTTTTATTTGTGTTTGGACTTTGGGAAACAATAGTTTCAACTGGAGCATTTATTGCTGGACGACTACAACACGACGGGGTTTTCACTATTCTTTCCTATTTGTTTATTTGGAAAGTGCCACCTATTCCACCACACACACGCATGAGTATGCATAAATATGTATACATCCATATGTAGATGAGGACACATTCCATGGTTGCAATGAAAACGGAAGGGAAAAAAGCGCGGAGCAGCAACTTTGACTATGCTTTTGCGAAATCGGAAATGGAATATGCATAGATCTGTTTCTGTTTTGCTACAGCTGTACAGTTTAAGCGCTAAAATTTCAAATCATAAATGTGCAGGCAGTGGGCACTCTGTGGGGTCAGGCCAGTTGGTTATTGTCGAGTAACAGAAAAGCATATGCAAATATGGATGTCGTATGTAGGTATTTTATTCAATCAACACTTCGGACGTTCGAACATACATACATACATATGTACATATGTTAAAGTAAGTGTCGGTTGAGAATTAAATTAAAAAAAAAAAAAAATAGCATACCGCGCCACGT